TCTCTTTGTCTCTCAGGTCAGCGTGTAGAGCTCAGAGTGTCTCTTTGTCTCTCAGGTGAAGCTGCTTCCTGGTAGTTGAGCTGAGAAACATCACAGATCAGATGTTTGTGTTTTAGAAAGATGTTGCTGATGAGACTTTAGAGGAAACAGCTGCTACGAGTCATGTGATCAAAGTGCAGTAGATAATGTCTGACATTCTGTTCACCTGCTGACAGCTGATACCTCACACCTGTTTCTGCTCTGCAGGTCACACAGCAGGACACAAGGAGGGAGGAGACAAGGAGGGAGGAAAAACCGAGGAAGGAGGCAAGGACGTAGGAGACAAATATAAAAATATTGAACTCTGAGTGAGTCTGTTAGTTTGTGTGATTCTTGTTGTTGTTGTTTTTAGAAAGCCCAAAAAAGATTAATACCAACCTGCCAATCCTGAAACTGTCAGTCACATTTTTCTGGCAGCGTGGTTAGCTTGGTAAACCAACCAAGTCCTTACAACTGTGACCCAGCTTCAAGTCCAGCCTGTGGCCCTTTGCTGCGTGTTGTCCACTATCTCTTTCTGCGTTTCATATGACTATCCACTTTCTTTCAAATAAAGGCAAAAATTTATTTTAAAATAGTCTCTGTACTCCTGAACGTTTGTGTCCTGCAGAGAGAAGCAGGAAGCAGAGCCAGCAGAGGAGAATTAGTGCGTAAATCTGCCTCATGTGTCTCCCATGAAATAAATCCAGAAGTATCTAAAAGGTGGAGGTAGATGTGACTGACTGTAGCTGGATCATCAGCTGTGACTGTTTGCGAATGCTTTTAAATCTACCAGTGATTTCAAGTCCTGCGTGATTGGAAAGGTAGGGTGGAGCGGTGACTGATGGTGCATTCATGTGCTGTCAGAATAATGAGAATCTTTTTTTCCTCCATAAATCTTTGTTGCAAATAGATAAAGTTCACATGGTACATAAGTATACACCTAAGTATACAGAACAGTTTACAAATGTATAAGAAGACACAGATAATAAAAACTTTGCCTGGAGAGGACCATTTTTTGACTGTTGTTGGTTTTAGAAATGAATTAATATAAGATATTGTAGATGTCTGCGTTTAAACGCTCTGATAATGCTAATCCAACACATCTTTGTAGTAGCGTCTATGTTGATTCCACATTCCAACTTAAGAGCCCATGAACACACGCACTGAACGACTTCACAACTTGGGAAATGGGAACATCTGAGGCACTAGCAGACTGGGAGAATTGGGACATCGCCCTGTGGCCTGAGGGCGTGCGACCTCTGACATAAATAGCAATAGTAAGTTGCTTTGGATAAAAGAGCCAGCTAAATGAATAAATGAAGCTGACAGTCCATTCTAACTACTCTCTTTACATTAATGTAAAAACAGACTTCATATCAGTTATATGTTGAGTTTTACAACAGTACCCTGCTGCAGATGTAACCAGGAGTCAATAAAACCTGATCAGGATCTTTGACCTTCCTTATTAACTGTTACTCTGTATAGCTGAGAAACAAATGAAAACTGATGGCTCAAAATGTCTTTCTAGGCCAGTCCCTGTAATCAGAGAACAAAATGGCAGGTAGAGTGTAGTTTGGAGCAGCTCTGAGCTCATTTGAACTTCACCATCCCCCACGTCTTATTCTGAGTCAGGATGTGGGTTCAGTCCTCCCTCCTTACTGTTGGCTGGTAAAAAACTAACTAATAGGAGAACAGACTGTTGCTCTTTCATTTATCTGTGTCTGAAGACAGTTTTTTTCTATGTTAAAGAATTAACATTTCACATAAATCTTTTAACTGTTTGTCAGACTGAACTGAACTCAACACTCCAATTCGAGCATAACCATGTAACCAAAATACAAATACAGTGATAAGAGTCTGCTTTGCAAAGTTATCAGGCAAGATAAACTTAACAAAATAAAATGAGAATTAAGGTTATTAAATTTTGCATCCTCAAGAATTCTTGTGTATGTATTCTATATACTATAAAGGGTTTATAGTGTACAGATAACTCTTATCCTTATTGTATTACTATTAAATCTCGTATTTTTCATGTAATGCGTATTTTCTCATCTGCTGTGTTGAATCTGGAGCTGCTTTAACAAGTGAATTTCCCCAGTGGGGTTTGGTTGCCAGACTTCTTATTTTTTATTTCCTTTCCGGTAATGCTCTTCTGTTGGATATTTGCAACAATTATACTACTGTTCATGTTATTGTATCCACTTTCTGGGGCTTTCTCTCTATAAACAAATGTCTGACTCAACCTGACATCCCCCTGTTCAGAGACTGACACTGGCGAGGCGACTAACGAGCCTCGTGCAATTTTAACTCTTAACTTTGACTTTGCGTGGAAGAAAATGTATACTGTACATTAAAATATATACAATGTCATGACATAATTTGCAGTACAACATTATTGTCAGTGTTGGGAGCAACACGCTACAAAAGTAACACAGTTATAGTAATGTATTGCTTTTTGCTGTAATGCAATAATTTAACGCATTTCTAAAACAACATCAGTAGTATTATACCTGTTCCAGGCTGAGTAATGCACGTTACAACGCACTTTAACCCAAAGTGGTGTTTTGTTTTGTAATAATTAAATTAAAAAACACCGAAAAATATTTCGGCACCAGAAAAACAAATCCATGAGTAAAAGAGTAACGTTATTTCCTGTTGCTGGAATCCAATGGTCGAGATTGTAGGCAGGGTGCAAACTACGAGAGCTCCGCTCCTCTTCACAAGACAGTAGCTCCTTTGATCAAGGGATTACTCTCAAATGACAGTAACTAGTAATCCATAATGTATTACATTTTGGAAGTAACTTGCCCAACACTGATTATAATAGGGTGATGCACTCTGTTAGGGCAGCTGAGAGGATCCAAAAGCGGACACAAGGAGACGCCGAACAGTGTAGGAAGGCTGCTGCTGATCAATGACTCAGACAGAGGGCACAAGGGACTGGAAGAAACCGGCTTCAATTGAGAAACATGGAAGGTCTGATGAATTCTGATGGAGCGGGGCAAGGCCAGTTTAACAGCCTCGGGGTTGACAACTCTGTCAATCACAAAGGGACCAATGAACCGAGTGGGACAGTCCTGAGAGGAATATACCTAAAGAACACCCAAACACTCTGACCTTGTTCATACGCAGGGACGGGGAACCTGTGTCAGCAAGTCAGCAGTTATTTTCCACAGAGCAAAGTAAGTCTGCTCCGGTGTCCCTCAAAAGCTTGTGGCAACGCCTGATGTGGTGCTGAACCGAAAGGACCGTTCGCTCGCTCTCCTGCGAAGGTGGCCAAGAACGGCTTCAAAAGTGGCCCGCCCTGTGGCACCACTGGTGAGAGAGTTATGGGTGTACTCCACCCAGGCCAGATGTGAACTCCATGTGCTCGGATTCGCGGCCGTAACACAGCGCAGGGCAGCTTCCAAGTCCTGATTCGCCCTCTCCGCTTGACCATCCGAAACCAGAGGAAAGGCTCACTGTTGCTCCTAGTGAATGACAAAACTCCTTCTACCTTGGATGTGACCTTGGATGTGAATTGCGGTCCTCTGTCAGAGACTAAGTCCGTTGGAATCCCATGTAGATGGAAGACGCGCCGGGTAAGGAGGTCTGCAGTTTCACAGGCTGTAGGCAACTTAGATAAGGCAATGAAATGTACAGACTTGGAGAACTGATCCACAATGGTAAGTATTTTATCATTACCTTGGGAAGGGGGCAACCCTGTCACAAAGTCCAAGGCGATGTGTGACCAAGGCCATCCAGGCATGGGCAGTGGAAAGAGTTGGCCTGCTGGAGGGCAGTGAGATGCCTTACTCCTAACGCTGCAGGCAGCCACATATTCTCGGGTGTCAGCCTCAATAGTAGTGTTTTTATAGGCAAGGTACAACTTCACTGAACAAGACCAGGTCAAGCAAGCCTGAGTCAATCAGAGTGTTAAAATAGTTAAATATAATCAAAAACTACAATGCAGTCTCATAAAATAGAGCTGTGTGTGTGTGTGTGTGTGTGTGTGTGTGTGTGTGTGTGTGTGTGTGTGTGTGTGTGTGTGTGTGTGTAAAAAAATAAAACCATCAGTTTCAGCTCTGAGTAGGCCTATCTGGATCAGCTTCCCTGTGCTGGACCCTGACTCTGCTTGTACTGATTGTACAGCTACACATGCACAAGAAGAACATCAGGAATAAATATGACTAACAATAATCCATTTTCTTTTTCTATCTATGGATAATTCCCTACCCAGCCCTGCACTTATCACTGTTTCTGGTTTCATTTTCCTACTCCTCTTCCTTCTTCCTCTGTTGTTCATAATATATATTAAAGCCCGACCGATATGGGTTTTTTGGTGCCAATGTTGATGCCAATATTAAAGTAAAAAAGAGCCGATTTATGAGCCGATATTTAGATTTAGAGAATGATTTGGATAGTACACCCCTTTACTGTAGTAACAACACTTAGAACAGGACGATATTGAAAGCTGGTATGTTTGTGGGCTGTAAAACCTTTTCCTAAATGGATTATGTTAATAAAATAGATTACAGTCTCAAAAACTGAAGATGTAAACAATTGCATATCAATAAATGTTTGTTGCTGGAATGTGCAACTTTTTCAGCCATCTGTAAACAGAGAATAAGCATGCGTATTTCACTTTACACATAATCTGCCATTATTCCAATGTAGCATATTCACATCTAGTTTATCATTGTACCAGCACTCTTCTAACTAAAGCTACGAGAAACCATTTCTCATCATCGGTATAAATCATGCCATCTATGATACAGTGAGCTGCTGTTGAATGCATCTAATACAACATGACTCCCTACAATGAGGACCTGCAACTGTAAGATTTCATTTAACTAACGTTATGATTACAATCAGAGCCGTTAAGACTTTCTCTATGTACACAATAGGCTTTTTGTGTACATAGAGAAATTCTTAGATCTTTTGAGTTCAGCTCATGATGAATGGGGGAAGAAAACAAGTGTTGCGCTGATAATTTTGTTCAGTGTTCGTACATAGACATTAAACAAGAAAACATCTCTCGTTGTGTTGTTTTTTGTTTGTCATCACTGTAGGTTGGCAGGAGTCGATGACTACAAGATGCCGCTGCTCCCAGCCAAGAAATAGTCCTGCACACATCCTCCAGTACATCCACAATGCATCAATTAACACCTCCTGACAGGTGGATTATGTTGCCTTTGGACAGAACCAGCCTAGACATTTCTTCAGTTTCACATATACAAGAAAAGGTGAGTGATGAAACTCCTAATGAACTGAAGTCAAAGTCTTTTGATAAAAATCTTTCCTGATGCTCCTTCATGCAGCTGTCTGTTCATGGTGAACATGAAGCTACCTTTAATGAGACAAACAGGATATGAGCTTTGTGGTTTTTTTGCCGTATGTCTCTGCGTTTAACTGAAAAGCTGTGATCTGTCATTGACTGTTGTTTCAGTGTTGTTGAGCGTCTGCCAGACGTCTGCCAGCACAAGTGGTGAGTTTCAAACCTTATGTATGTGTGTGGAAAAGAATATTTAAAGTTTAATGTAATTATTTTGCTACTTGTTACGTTGGAAGGAGTGGAATTTGTAATTGTTTTATTTACAATCTGTGTACTCTGTAAAATCTCAGGTTATCTTTCATGTGTGTTTGCCGCCCACCACCTGTCGTCACCACTTCCAGTCTGTTAAAGACTGCTCACTTGTTGCAAAGCGTATTCTTGCTGCTGGAGAAATTATGCCGGGAACAAAGAAGGTAAGGTGACATATTCACCAGAGGGAGGTGGTTTAATAAAACATCACACTTTCACACCGGAAACCATGTTCACTTCCTGTTTTCTACAAAGTTGGAACAACAAGTCAATCTTGCTTCAAATCATGCCTGCCGTCGTCACTAATCGTTACAAAGTGGTTATTATTTGCATAACCATGACAACAAAGGTCACCTAAATTAAATAAGCATTAATTTCAACCCAAACCACAATGTTTCCCTGTCCCTAACCAAACCTTAAGTTGTGACATCCCAAAACAGATTTGTAACAGTAAAACTCAGACAAATGATGTCGTCCTGCTGATCGCTGCGTCAGATTAGTAAAATACTTCTATGTGATGTTCCAGAGGACTAACAACATACACTCACCTCAAGGATTTTTAGTAACACCTGTTCAATTTCTCATTAATGCAATTATCTAATCAACCAATCACATGGCAGTTGCTTCAATGCATTTAGGGGTGTGGTCCTGGTCAAAACAATCTCCTGAACTCCAAACTGAATGTCAGAATGGGAAAGAAAGGTGATTTAAGCAATTTTGAGCGTGGCATGGTTTGTTGGTGCCAGACGGGCCGGTCTGAGTATTTCAAAATCTTCACGCACACGCATTTCTAGGGTTTACAAAGAATGGTGTGAAAAGGGAAAAACCTCCAGTATGCGGCAGTCATGTGGGCGAAAATGCCTTGTTGATGCTAGAGGTCAGAGGAGAATGGGCCGACTGATTCAAGCTGATAGAAGAGCAACTTTGACTGAAATAACCACTCGTTACAACCGAGGTATGCAGCAAAGCATTTGTGAAGCCACAACACGCACGACCTTGAGGCGGATGGGCTACAACAGCAGAAGACCCCACCGGGTACCACTCATCTCCACTACAAATAGGAAAAAGAGGTTACAATTTGCAAGAGCTCACCAAAATTGGACAGTTGAAGACTGGAAAAATGTTGCCTGGTCTGATGAGTCTCGATTTCTGTTGAGACATTGAGATGGTAGAGTCAGAATTTGGCATAAACAGAATGAGAACATGGATCCATCATGCCTTGTTACCACTGAGCAGGCTGGTGGTGGTGGTGTAATGGTGTGGGGGATGTTTTCTTGGCACACTTTAGGCCCCTTAGTGCCAATTGGGCATGGTTTAAATGCCACGGCCTACCTGAGCATTGTTTCTGACCATGTCCATCCCTTTATGGCCACCATGTACCCATCCTCTGATGGCTACTTCCAGCAGGATAATGCACCATGTCACAAAGCTCCAATCATTTCAAATTGGTTTCTTGAACATGACAATGAGTTCACTGTACTAAAATGGCCCCACAGTCACCAGATCTCAACCCAATAGAGCATCTTTGGGATGTGGTGGAACAGGTCCTTCGTGCCCTGGATGTGCATCCCACAAATCTCCATCAACTGCAGGATGCTATCCTATCAATATGGGCCAACATTTCTAAAGAATGCTTTCAGCACCTTGTTGAATCAATGCCACGTAGAATTAAGGCAGTTCTGAAGGCGAAAGGGGGTCAAACACAGTATTAGTATGGTGTTCCTAATAATCCTTTAGGTGAGTGTATGTCTGTCCCATTGCTCCACCACTCCGTCAGTCCAGTTAAACTCTCTTCCTTCCTCTCTGTAGGTGAGTGTAGTGACTCTGTAGAAGGTCATCTGGTTTTGCTTCGTCTCTCAAGAGATGATCAGGAGACATGGGGCCCTACACAAAGTGTTTAATCACATGCAGGAAATGACAGCGCTGCAGTTTTAACATGAAGGAGTAAGAAGGGCTGATCTGAGATCACTAAGAGACAGATTCATTAGAAACAAAGATGTAAAGTTCCTCAGTGGAGTTTCTCTCCACTCTGTAAATTTCAGTGTGATGAAGATTACACTTTAGATCAAACTACCTGTGTTTGTCTTACTTCTGTTTTGGTTGTTGCAGTGACACAGATGTCCTGCAGGAGTCAGTAACTGTGAGTGTTTACTGTGAAACTAAACTGTGGTTCATATCTAATGTTTAATTATCAGTGTGAGTCCTGTTTAACATATACTATCTGGACTTCTGCTGCAACATGACCTACCCAAACTCTGGTGTTAATGGTTTCAACTAACAACAGTCCTCCTGGAACAGATGTATGCCTTTATGCTGAAAGAGCATCAAGTTGAAATTGAATGTTACATCTTCCAGCTTCTCCTGGGAAACCCAAAGTATTCCCACCCTATATGAGAAAAAAGGTCCTCACTTTGTGTTGCAAAATGGTGGGGACCATTTGGCTTAGATTATGGATGTACAATACACTTAACTCACGAGACATGACCACAATATTTGGGTCATGAAAACAAGACACAAGAACATTATTTTGAAGAAATATTCAGTGCTGAAATATGATTGGGGGCAACACAATCCAGGTGGCAGGTGACAATTCAAAATATGAATATGTAATATAATGTGAAATTAGTAGCTTGTTTTTTTAGCTTAAGTTACTTTTTTTGGACATGCACATTTCTATTTTTTATATTTAAATTGCGTTGCGTGTTTTCTTATTGTGCAAATAAAACTTTCTCAAAGCATTTTCATTTGTTAGTTAACATTTCTCATTGCAAGCTATTTTTCGGAACATTTTAACTAATTATGCTTCAACATAATTGGTCCCCAGAGTCCCCTGTGTAGATGACACCTATGATGAGATATGTAATCTCTCAGTGTTCAGGGTCTACCTCGGGTTTTCCAGCTGCTTATATCTTGTTCTTTCAGTAAGTACCCAAAGCCACTGACCGAAGGTAGTGAAGCTCTGATCTCGATCTTTGCTTTCCAGCTTTATGTTAAAACATAAATCAACTTTGGTTTATCACTCTCAAGCTGAGTTCAATTCCTCTAGCCACACCCAGACCTGATTACTCCCACACCTGTTCTCAATCAAGAAATCACTTAAATAGGACCTGCCTGACAAAGTGAAGTAGACCAAAAGCTCCTCAAAAGCTAGACATCATCATGCGATGCAAATAAATTCAAATAAATATTTAAAGCCATTCCTAAAGATTTGGGACTTCAACAAACAACACTGAGAGCCGTTATCCACAAATGTCGAAAACATGGAACAGTGGTGAAAGACCAAAATTACCCCAAGACCGCAGCGACAACTCATCCAAGAGCTGCATCCAAAGAACTGCAGGCTTCACCTGCCTCAGTGGTTAGTGTTCATGGCTCCACCGTAAGAAAGAGACAGGGCAAAAATGGGCTGGAGGGCAGTTCCAAGACGAAAACCACTGCTCAGCAAAAAGAACATAAAGGCTTGTCTCAATTTTGCCAGAAAACATCTTGATGATCCCCAAGACTTTTGGACTGACGAGACAACAGTTGAACTTTTTGGAAGGTGTGTGTCGCACTACATCTGGTGTAAAAGTAACGGCATTTCAGAAAAACATCATACCAACAGTAAAAGATGGTGGTGTGGTGGTCTGGGGCTGCTTTGCTGATTCAGGGCCTGGAAGTAAATGGAACCATGAATTCTGCTGTCTACCAAAAAATGTCCGGCCATCTGTTCATGACGTCAATTTGTTTGATGATCTGAAACATTTCAGTGGGACAAACATGCAAAAAAATAAGAAATCGGCAAGGGGGCAAACACTTTAACACCAGTGTGAATAAAAAACAAATACTTTGACAGCGTCTGGTGCTGAAAAAGATCTCAGTTATGACAGCAGAATCACATAATCACAAAACACACCATTACTAACACTGAAAGAACACGACAATGGAGGAGATACTGCTGGATATTCAGCACTTCATTAAATCTTAACATAACATACAACTCTGTTTCAACACATTAGTTTCTAACATAAATCAAACCTGCGTGATGACAATAACTCTGTTTAAACAATTTACTACCACACTGGAGCATGTACAGTGGGTACGGAAAGTATTCAGACCCCTTTAAATTTTTCACTCTTTGTTTCATTGCAGCCATTTTCCAAAAATCAAAAAAGTTCATTTTATTTCTCAGTAATGTACACTCAGCACCCCATCTTGACAGAAAAAAACAGAAATGTAGAAATTTTTGCAAATTTTTAAAAAAGAAAAACTGAAATATCACATGGTCATAAGTATTCAGACCCTTTGGTCAGTATTTAGTAGAAGCACCCTTTTGATCTAATACAGCCATGAGTCGTTTTGGGAAAGATGCAACAAGTTTTTCACATCTGGATTTGGGTATCCTCTGCCATTCCTCCTTGCAGATCCTCTCCAGTTCTGTCAGGTTGGATGGTAAACGTTGGTGGACAGCCATTTTCAGGTCTCTCCAGAGATGCTCAATTGGGTTTAAGTCAGGGCTCTGGCTGGGCCATTCAAGAACAGCCACGGAGTTGTTGTGAAGCCACTCCTTCGTTATTTTAGCGGTGTGCTTAGGGTCATTGTCTTGTTGGAAGGTAAACCTTCGGCCCAGTCTGAGGTCCAGAGCGCTCTGGAAAAGGTTTTCGTCCAGGATATCCCTGTACTTGGCCGCATTCATCTTTCCCTCGATTGCAACCAGTCGTCCTGTCCCTGCAGCTGAAAAACACCCCCACAGCATGATGCTGCCACCACCATGCTTCACTGTTGAGACTGTATTGGACAGGTGATGAGCAGTGCCTGGTTTTCTCCACACATACCGCTTAGAATTAAGGCCAAAAAGTTCTATCTTGGTCTCATCAGACCAGAGGATCTTATTTATCACCATCTTGGAGTCCTTCAGGTGTTTTTTAGCAAACTCCATGCGGGCTTTCATGTGTCTTGCACTGAGGAGAGGCTTCCGTCGGGCCACTCTGCCATAAAGCCCCGACTGGTGGATTGCTGCAGTGATGGTTGACTTACTACAACTTTCTCCCATCTCCCGACTGCATCTCTGGAGCTCAGCCACAGTGACCTTTGGGTTCTTCTTTACCTCTCTCACCAAGGCTCTTCTCCCCCGATAGCTCAGTTTGGCCGGACGGCCAGCTCTAGGAAGGGTTCTGGTCGTCCCAAACGTCTTCCATTTGAGGATTATGGAGGCCACTGTGCTCTTAGGAACCTTAAGTGCAGCAGAAATTTTTTGTAACCTTGGCCAGATCTGTGCCTTGCCACAATTCTGTCTCTGAGCTCTTCAGGCAGTTCCTTTGACCTCATGATTCTCATTTGCTCTGACATGCACTGTGAGCTGTAAGGTCTTATATAGACAGGTGTGTGGCTTTCCTAATCAAGTCCAATCAGTATAATCAAACACAGCTGGACTCAAATGAAGGTGTAGAACCATCTCAAGGATGATCAGAAGAAATAGACAGCACCTGAGTTAAATATGAGTGTCACGGCAAAGGGTCTGAATACTTATGACCATGTGATATTTCAGTTTTTCTTTTTTAATAAATTTGCAAAAATTTCTACATTTCTGTTTTTTTCTGTCAAGATGGGGTGCTGAGTGTACATTACTGAGAAATAAAATGAACTTTTTTGATTTTTGGAAAATGGCTGCAATGAAACAAAGAGTGAAAAATTTAAAGGGGTCTGAATACTTTCCGTACCCACTGTAAGCGCCGTCTGTGTGAGTGTAACCCCCTCTCAATGCTGTGCTTTTCTCTACATATTGATTAATTCGTGTTGCGTGTTCAAATTGCACCAAACATGACACTGCACTTCCTTGGGTCCGCAGCAACACACCAATAAGTGTAAGTTGATTGGATGAGCAGTTATTGACATAATCAAAATATAAACACACACACACACACACACACACACACAGATTCTTCCTTTATTAGAGATGGGAAAATGAGATCAGTCACTCTGTCATCCTATTGGCTGCAGAGTAACTCTGCTGACATCTGGTGGTTTAAAACAAACTCACACATTCAGAGAATCAACTTGACTTCCTGTTGATAAACTTTATTTAACTTCTCAGGTAACTTTTAGTAACTGGTGCACTGGATTAAAAAACATCTGAATTGTGTTATTTAATGTTACAGGGTAGGATTTTCTTATTTTATCCAAGCATGTTTGTTCTTAAATATTCTAAATATCTGAACAGGAGAACGTTCTGTTTACTGCCAGCAGTGATCAGATATATGTGATCAGGGAAACATGTCAGTAAAAAGTACTTGTAACCATGAAAGGCTGCTTTCAGAGTTTGATGTTGAGTTTGAAGTCCAGACTTTATTGATTGATTATGTTTTCCTTTGCCTCATCATGAATGTGAAATCTATAAATGTGGTGGAGTAAAGTAAGCCTACAAAGTCCTTCAAAGTAATTAAAGTTTCCCAGGGGTGGGTGGCGTTAGCTCTGTGAACTGTCAGTACGGTAGGCCGACTTAGTGATCACAAATCACAAAAAAGCAATACTGTGTTAAGCAGGGGGGAGTAACAATTTAAGTTCACATTTACTACTGTACTAAAGTCGGAATCATGAGCGGTGGGTGCTTGAGCACCTGTCCCTTTGGCCATTGATGCCCAAAGTGCCCTTTTATCAAAGCATAACAGCAAAACAGCTATATAACCTCAAAGTATCTCTCTGGAAATACATCTAAATATGTAAGTATAACATTTATAATACTTGTACTGACATCAGAAGGCAGAGTGATGTCATAGATTTCAGGAAAGGGTAGTAAATGTTAATGTGAAAGGTTAATGCTACTCTGTGATGTTTAGTAGGGGCCAACAGAATGAACACACACATTGTAGTATCTTTATTAGTGGTCCAGGCCCAAGTGGGCTGGGAACCCGCAAATGCAAGGCATCGCGGTTCCCAGTACCAGTGGAGCTGGGAACCCTATTGTTTTCACTCAGATTTGTTCTTTTTTTTCTCTTCCGTGCATAAAACTGATACAACTGATGCTGCGGTCTAGACGGTAACTGCTAGGGACACCAAACTCACAAGGTAGGTTCACAGCCTCAAGAGTACCTCAGGTGCAAAAATCCGCGAAAACTGAAAAACCTATTTTAATTAACTCCTCCGAAGCTGCAAGTCCGATCGACACCAAACTTGGCACGAATGATCCCTGGACCGAGCCGATAAAGGTTTGTAGAGGAAATCTTGATCCCACAAAAACTGTCGCAATTATACGCTAACAAATATTTGCGAAAAACACTACTAACAGGTAATTATGTCATATCTTCGCTTTGGAATGGCCGATCAACACCAAATTTGGAGTATTAATGTGGGACGCCCTCCTGAGGGCCTGTGCAAAATTTGGTGAAACTCGCCCCTAGGTGGCGCTATTTAATTCAGAAAATTTGTTCCTCTACGAGTCACATTGACATGAAACCACAGCCTAAATGTTCAGCACCCTTACTACAGGCACCAAAGTTCACCCAAATATGCCCATAGGTGGCACTGTTATTGTAGATTAAAGATGTCAAAAAAAAATCCCATTGACTACCATGCATTTTATATCTCCATAACAACAAGTCCGATTGAAACCAGATTTGGAGCAATTGTTCCCCATGGACCCCTGATGACACCTGAAAGATTTGGTGCAATTCGGCCATAAGCTCAAGCTCAAATACGGTCAGAGAATCCCATTCATTTCAATGGGATTTTCAACCAAAGGACATTTTGCCACATAACTACGGCCCACTACATTGCACATTCATAAACCTTATGTCTCCGTGTTTGGGGGATGCTGCCGATTCCTATGGTATAGGACACACCTCTATGCGATGATGTTTTCATTTCACTATATTGCAAAACTGAAAAACCTATTTTAATTAACTCCTCCGAAGCCAGAAGTCCAATTGCCATGAAACTTGGCACGAATGATCCCTGAACCGAGCCGATAAAGGTTTGTAGAGGAAATCTTGATCCGCCAAAATTCATCCCAATTACAACCTAACAAATGTTTAAGCAAACGCTAAAAACAGGATGTCATGTCAGATCTTATGTTTGCAATGTCCGATCTATACCAACCTCAGGGACCTTATCTGGCACGCCCTTTCAAGGGCTTGTCTGAAATTTGGCGTCAATCGGCTCCTAGGTGGCGCTATTAATTGGAAATCAAATAACACTCCCATATACATACATTCATTTCACATCTCTGTAAATGCAAGCCCCTTTCATTAATAACTCTGGTCATTTATTCTCCACAGGCCCCCTGAGCCACGGCAGGGCCCGTGCACAATAAATCATGGCGGGCCCGGGCCGACTCGTGCGCCCTCTGCGGGGCCAGGGGGGGCGGCTTGCGCCAGGAGGCTTAGACCCCGCTTATAACTGCTTTTATATATATATACTATACTGCAGTTCTAGTTTTGATTTGTCTTTAGACATGTAATCAATCAAAATCCAAATATACCTCAGACTCACAATGCAATATAATCATGATCACAATATTGCTACTGTAGTAAGCAGCACACACATATTAACATCTCTATCTATAGTTTTGTTTGTTGTACTCTTACCCCTGCCTTGGCCACCCTCATTCAAGGCAGACTAAGGCGGGTCATACTTTTGCAAAGTTGATGTAAATGTGTCTGCACACACATTTACTGAAAGACTGAGCAGGAGAAAAAGAGAGGGGGTTTCTTCTTGTAGTTTGAGGGATAGACCCGGGACCTATTTAGATTGAATCGACATGACAACGTGCATTTAGCATAAATAGGATCTTACATTGTACGGAAGCTGAAAGACATTCATGCTGTTTAGAGTCTGTGGTTGCGGCTTTGTTTATTTTCAGTTATCTGCATCTCTCTGTTATACTGAAGAGAGATGTGTATCGGATGTCTGTATTGGTAAGCCACAGCCAAACCAGCAGGCCTACAAGTAAAATTTTCCATCCAACAGCTTTGTGAAACCCACAGACCCACAGACATACAAACATCTTTCTGGCTCAACTCACACTACATCCCCACTAACAGGGTCTTAGCGGCATATTTTCCACTTTTAAATCTCTACTAAATCAGCCTCCACCAACAAATCTGTCTGACAATACCTTTACCTGTGAAGGCCGGCAGGCAAAGTGGCAACTATAACTAGCCAATTTTCTAAATCACTCAAAATCAACGAGGGCATATGGTTTTTTACCAGCGTGAGAGAGGCAGCAGAAATGTCTGTGAGCTTGCTTATGTGTGTGAATAAACCTCCTCAAACTCAATCTTGTTATGGACATCACTTTGCTTTGGTACCTCTGAACCTGCGTAAAGCCTAACCATGACGTAGCCTCAAGTGGCCATTTGAGAAGTTTGTTATTATTTGTTTTTGTTTAAGTTTATGGACAAATAGCCACTATAGATAGAGTGATTTCAATAAAAGTGCTTTACAAAAAGAATATAATTAAAATACACTACAATAAAAATTTTAATTAGCACATTAAACACTAAAAGTAAAACCACTTATACAAATACATCAGAAGATAGCAAACATTTACATCTCATACGCTGCAATGTCTATATCCTTATACATACAGTACATGTAGCAGTCCTTCTACATCTCTTCTTCTGTCTTCCCAGGTCAATGGCATGTCACCCTCCTTGTTTACTCCTCTCATGGAAAGCGAGGTATCAGAACTCTTTATCTGTAGCCGTCCCACTACATGCCCAATGGACCCAATTCCTACGAATCTCCTCCAAGCCACATCTCCTACCGTGGTGCCGGCAATCATTCATGTGATAAATCTTCCTGTGGCTTCGGGAACCTTCCTGACCGCTTTCACAAGGGGTCACCTTACACCCCTACTCAAAAAGCCCTCCCTCAACCCAACTGAAGTTGAGAACTATCGGCCAGTTTCACTTATACCAATTTTATCCAAAGCTATCGAACGGGCAGTCTTTAAACAGCTCTCAGAATTCCTCTCATGTATTGACATCCTAGATCCATATCAGTCTGGTTTTAAGAGTGGCCCCTCTACTGAAACGGCTCTTTTGTCTGTGAGTGAAGCCATCTCGGTGCTGATCACAGACTGTCTCTCAGTCATACCTGCATGGATGAAGGCTTGCCACCTTCAACTAAACCTCTCTAAGACTGAACTCTTTGTCATTCCAGCCAAGTAATCTATCCACCATAACATCAAACTACAAAATGACTCCGCAACCATCACTCCAACCAGGGTGGTGAGAAACTTGGGTGTTATGATTGATGACCAACTGTCCTTTTCAGACCATGTTGCTGTTGTCTGTCAGTCGTGCCGCTTTTCTCTATATAACATAAGGAAAATCAGGCCCTACCTCACTCAGTACGCCACCCAGCCTCTAGTACAGACCATGGTTATCTCTCGTCTCGACTACTGCAAGGCCCTCCTAGCAGGTCTTCCAGCTTGTGCAGTGAAATCCCTACAAATGGTCAGAATGCAGCAGCGCGTCTGGTTTTGGATCAACCCCAAAGGACTCATTTCACTCCATCATTCGGCGACCTCTATTGTTTTCCCATGGCCTCCTGAATCAAATTCAAGTCACTAATGCTTGCATACAGAGCTATTACTACAAGCCTACGTTCCTTCTCAGCTATGCTCCTCCAACAGATGCCACCTTGCTCTGCCATCCCTTCACACCAAGCGATCCCAGTCCGGGCTGTTCTCAACGAGCTACCACATGCCATCAGAGCATTGGAGTCCTCGCTTCTTTATAGAGAATGGGGCATCAGTCTTGCAGGTGCTTTGCTCAGCTGGTCACAGAGAGGGAAGTAAACGAGTTATTTAGGAGGCAGAATGGGCCGGACTCTGTCCACCCTGAAGCACTGTGCTGATCAGCTGTCTCCGGTGTTCACAGACATTTTTTACACCTTACTGGAGACATGCCATTTGCCAGCCTGCTTCAAAGCCTCCACCATCATCCCTGTCCCTCAAAAACCAGGAACCACTGGACTAAATGGCTACAGACCCGTCGCCCTGACCTCTGTGGTTATTAAGTCCTTTGAACGCCTTGTGTTTGTCCCACCTAAAATCTATAACAGACCCACTCCTGGACCCCCTACAGTTCGCCTAGAGCCAACAGGTCTGTAGACGATGCAGTAAACATGGCCCGTCACTACATCCTCCAGTGCCTGGACTCCCCAGGCACCTACGCCAAGATCCTGTTTGTGGATTTCAGCTCTGCTTTTAACACCATCATCCCAGCCCTGCTGCAGGACAAGCTCTCTCAGCTGAACGTGCCTGACTCCACATGCAGGTGGATCAGACTTCCTGAAAGACAGGAAGCAGCACACGAAGCTGGGAAAACATGTCTCTGATTCCAGGACCATCAGAACCGGTTCACCTCAAGGCTGCATTTTTTCCCCCCTCTGCTTTCTTCCTGTACACCAACACCTGCACCTCCAGTCACCAGTCCATCAAGCTCCTGAAGTTTGTGGACAACACCAACCTCATTGGGCTCATCTCAGGTGGGGATGAGTCCGCCTACAGGTGGGAGATTAGTGGGACCGAGTGAAGCCAGACCGGTCTCTCTTGGAGCTCAGTGCTCTGAAGATAGTGGAGATGGTTATGCATTTTAGGAAGAGCACAGCCCCACCCTCCCCCGTCGCCACTGTGGACTCCTTGTGCTTCCTGCATCACCTCCATAACCAAGAAGGCCCAGCGCAGGATGTATTTCCTGCGGCAGCTGAAGAAGTTCAGCCTGCCAAGAGTCCATCCTCACCTCTTCCATCACCATCTGGTACGCTGCTGCCACTGCCAGGGACAAGGGCAGGCTGCAGCATATCATTCGCTCTGCAGAGAAGGTGATTGGCTGCAATCTTCCTTCTCTTCTGGACCTGTACGCTTCGAGGACTCTGAGGCGAGCAGGAAAGATTGCAGCTGACCCCTCCCAACCTGGACACAAACTGTTTCAGACTCTCCCCTCTGGCAGGAGGAGGAGTCCATCAGGACCAAAACCTCTCGCCACAAAAACAGCTTCTTCCCATCTGCAGCTAGCCTCATCAACAACTCACTGACACTCCCCCATTGCAAATAATACAATGTCTCTGCACATATAAATATTATTTCATTTCATATCATGTACCTGGCACATTGCACATATTTGTTGCTAATTGTTAATCTTTGTTGTTGTATATTTTTATATTGTCAATTTATATATTTCATTGCAATACATCTGCACAACACAAACACAGAATAATGCACATGTAATGTGCGATGTATTATTTTTCTCTATTCTTTTTAATATTCTTAAATAACTTGCATTGGCTATTCCATATTTATATATTTCTACATTTATTTATGTCAACTGTATGTTTGTATGTAGCGCCTCATCAACAAAGTTTCTCGTGTGTGTAATACACTTCTTGGCAATTAAGCTCCTTCTGATTCTGAGCAGCTGCTATCGCATTTGCGCTATGGTAGCATTTTTCGACAAGGCAGCAAATATCTGCCTTGGGGGGAGTGTGAGTACATATGGTCAAACAAAGAACAAACGTGCAGGGGGAACTTAAGTTGCTTCCTGCAAATGTGTGTTGTTTAAGGCCAAACACAAGTATATTTGTGCTGCAGCACGTGTTCTGACAGGAACCAGGAAAAGAGATCATATTTCTCCTGTTTAGCTTCTTGCATTGGCTTCCAGTAAAATCCAGAATTTAAATCTCTTCTTACCTACAAAGCTCTTAATGGTCAGTCACCATCTTATCTTAAAGAGCTCATAGTACCTTACTACCCCACCAGAGCACTGCGCTCCCAGAATGCAGGGTTACTTGTGGTTCCTAGAGTCTCCAAAAGTAGACTAGGAGCCAGAGCGTTCAGCTATCAAGCTCCTCTCCTGTGGAACCAGGTTCCAGTTTGGGTTCAGGAGGCAGACACCATCTCCACATTTAAGAGTAGGCTTAAGACTTTCCTCTTTGATAAAGCTTATAGTTAGGGCTGGCTCAGGTAGTCCTGAACCATCCCTTAGTTATGCTGCTATAGGCCTAGACTGCTGGGGGATTTCCCATGATGCACTGAGCTCCTCTCTCCTCTACTTTCTCCCTTTCTCTCCCCCTCTCTCTCCTTCCATCCCTCTCTTTTTCTCTCTCTCTCCAAATTAATGCCATACCATTGAAGAAATAGGCAACAAAATAACTTTTCAGTAACATAGGTTGACATTATGACATAGTTGTTTATGTGTTATGCAGTATTCAACACCATGTTGTAGTCCATGTTGTGACTACTGTTCCTGAGACTCATATTCCAGTCCCCAGATTCAGCTGAACCACTGTTCTGACGGTATTGGGCCATGAACAGGCCCTCTTTATTTAAGGTGGCGGTTAGAGTTATGGCAGTCCCTGCATCAAGTGCTCCTGTTGAACGTCTATGAAGATTCTCAGTCATCCAGGTCATAGTCATCCAACGAAGGTTAAAATCAAGGGCAACTTGATATAAGTCCAGTTGCCCTTGATTTTAACCTTCGTTGGATCACCTGTTGAACGTGTGTTCAGCCATGGTGGTGCGATGATGCGCCCACATCTTTCACAATTAAGCGACAAAGTGCTGTCAAACTTAATGTGTCCCACATTTGACACTAAATATAATGGTGACGAAGCCAGAGACTCTGATCAAGAAAGGTACCCCACCCCCACCCCACCCCCCAACTTATTGATTAAAATAATTAATGTACTACTTTAGATTTTGAAGCTGTAAGCTGTTAGATATGTTTGTAACCTCCTAAAGTTTATTATGAGCTGACTTGTGAACAGAGTCTCCACCTCTGACCTCTGTTCCTCTCCAGCACTGTAGTTTACTGTGTGGATGGATGGACAGCAGAGACAACATGTGTCCTCTCCCCTCTCGTGGTGTCTGTCCATGCAGATCCAGCAGCTTCATTTGTCTCTCTGAGAAGTAAAGAAGTTTCATACTGTAGGGACTCTTTCCTCAGTAGCTGAGAGCTGAGACTCAAGTTGTCTGAGAACAGGGTTTGAAATGCTGCTGAGTTCACATGTGCTGTTTTATAGAGACCTGATCTCTGCTGCTTCCATCAAAAGATGTTTGAAAAACAGGAAACATTAAAGTCCTGACTGGAGGCTTTTCTCTTTCTGTTCAGGGACACAGGAGCTGAAGGTGAAGCCTGGAAGGAACGCTACTCTTCAGTGTTGTCACAGAGTCACAGAGGTGCTGCCATTGAAGTGTTGTACCGTCTTCTTCTTCAGAGACAACCGTTTACATGAAAACTACCAGCATGAATCTTATCTGGTCCAGCGGAGCTGAGAAATCCAGAGATGAAGGACGGAGACGTTTTTGTGATTCTGAAGAACATCAACATCAACGACACTGGAACATATGAGTGTTGGATTAGACAGGGAAACGAAAAAGGCAAATGAAACCCATCTGCACCATAAGTCTGACAGTGATGACAGTGTTCACCCTGCTGCCTTCTGGGAAGAGATATAGAAGTTTCTGCTTCCACACCACCAGACTGCAGAGCAGCTTTCCCCCCAAGCTATCAGACTCTTAAACTCTAGTTCATCCTCAGCACTGCCCCATTGATTATTCAATATAGTTTATTTCTGTTTACTATTTTTATAATTGCTTCTATATTAATACAATTTGTCTGCTACGTAGCAGAAGGGAGTTACAAACTAAATTTCACCTTACAAACACTGGTGACAAATAAATCTACCTGGTACCTTGTACTTTGCCTGCTGCTGTGTTCTCTGTCAGATGAGCACATCAGCTGTCAGCACTAACACATAAAGACTACAGATCATATCTTCACAAACTAAACAAACAAGTATGTAAACATTATGACATATAGAAACACCTCGAGGGCAGATTACAGTAGCCTACGCTATCATTCGCTACACTGAAACCCAGTAACTTTTTTTGGGTGGGTATCTTTTGCTTGTAAACAGGAGGTCATTTCAGCCCTAAGCTTAATGAAGTGAGCGTTTTATCATCGGTACCTTTAAGAAATGATAGTTAAACTGACATCATATAGCCTACAGCAGGGGTTTTCAAAGGGGGGCTCCAAACTGTTTCAGTGGAGGCTCAGTGAATAAAAGTCAAACAATATTAAATTACTTATTGCATTAGTTATCAAAAGGACATCACATAGAATAGCCTACATGTGAGTTCAGGACAAACCTTTTTAAAA